TATTAAATTAGACACTCGTCCTCTTGGTTCCCTAATTAGAGGCTCGTCCTTTTCGAAGTTATATAAATAAACTAAGAATAATGCTGTAAATAGATCAAACTGTAAGAATATTTAGCTTCATTATCACCCCTGATGTAAGATGTATTTCAGTATCATGGATGTTTTTAATAGATGGACTTTTCTCCAACAGGATAAAAAGAACCACGGTGTTTTAAACAGACTTGATATTACACACGTTATAAAGAACATTTTATGCCAATGTGCATGCAAAGTTAATATAAAATTATTTAATGGAAAAACTGTCCCGTTAGTAAAGTTGACCGCGGTTCAGAGAAATTACATTAAGCGATCTCTTGAGTTTCCATCACCAAAGAGCAACCTTTATTAAAAACGCTCTTCACTAACAGCGTCCTTTGAATTCCCAATAAATGACCTTATAAAATCGTTACAAGTTGGGTCAATGTACCGTCAAACTTAAACTAAAACATTTTGATGTTATACATTGTTACTTTAAAAAAGATTAAAGTAGGTCTCTTCAGTTATAGTTATAATTAAAATACAGGGCGATTCAAAAAGGACTTTACAACCTCGAAAATGCATATAAATCTTATTAAACAAGGTACAGAGCTGGTTTTGGTGTTGTTTTAAAGGAAAACACTTAAAGTTTGTTTACCTTAAATTATGTTCTATGTGACTTCCGTTGGATTTGGGGAAAATAATTATTTAGGTATGAAAAAAATAGTGAAAACCGTTAAAAATGTGAGAGAAATTTACAAAATTTTGAAAGTAGGGCGTTATTTGACGGTGAAGGAAAGCAATACACCCACTTCTAGATGTGCTAGGGAGTTGAAATTTCGCACACTTGTAGTTCTTGCTCCCAAACCACCCATAAAATTCAAAAAAGTCGCATTTAAAAATTTTAACCCCCCCAAAAATCCAAAATGGCGTAACTTTGAAAACGACAAAACACGTTTTTTTTCAAACGGCTATAGCTTGAAAATGGTAAGAGCTATAACAGATTTGAGGAAAAAATGTAGGTTAGGAATTAAATTTCCTACAAGACACTAATCGTGCGTTTTTTGAAAATCGCACTCCTTCACCGTCAAAATCGCCCTACTTTCAAAATTTTGTAAATTTCTCTCAAATTTTTAATGGTTTTAACAATTTTTTCATACCTAAATAATTATTTTCCCCGAATCCAACGAAAGTCACATAGAACATCTTTTGTTTAAGGTAAAAACCCTTGAAGTGTTTTCCTTTAAAACAACACCAAAACCAGCTCTGTACCTTGTTTATTAAGATTTATATGAATTTTAAAAGTTGTAAAGTCCTTTTGAATCACCCTGTATAATATACGTCAATATTATTCTTACTGTATTAAGGTTGTGTAGGATTTGAATACTCTTTCTGACTTATAATAAACCAACGGTTAAATTTTCGTATAAATCCACCAATTTGGGAAATTATGTTAAATTCAGAACATTATTTGTGTAAGATCAACTTTGATTTGATACTTTTGGTGTTCTACTAAAGGTAGGCAAAATTGGTTATTTAGTGAGTTAAAAACTCGTTTATTATTGTTTCAAATTTATTATTACCACGTATATTTGTATTCAGCCTTAACAAAATATCTGAGAATTTGTAACTTACACAATTTAGCTTTTCAGAATGAAAACATATGCTACCATAAACGTACTCTTCTTTCGCATCTATCAATCAACTCACCTTACTCTACAATGTACTAAAAAAATTCTTATCATCTTTCTTTGTTTGATAAATTTTTATTACGTGACAGATATTCATTCAATAAACAATATTGATAAATAACTAAAAAGCTTTAAATTTGTCAAACGAAATAACAGATTGTACAAGAATGGTTCAAAAGACAGTTTGGCTTATACCACATTAATTGAGACACGTATAAACTTTGTACTTTCAAAGTTTATCCCTCAATTAGCTGTAAACGCCAGATTCAGTCTAATGATTAGTAATTAAACATCAAGTAACGAAGTAACGAACCCTCATGAGGCTTGTGTTTAGCTGTGATGTTTGAGTTTAATGGTTCAGTGTTTCTCTTTGGTAAACAATGGTAACAATGGTAACAATGATGCGCAAATACAAGCAAGGTTATTTTTAACTAGTAGAGGTTGTCTATTAAAAGGTTTATTTATACAATTCAGGATAAATAGGTAGTAGATTCCATACTGCAGCAAAAGCAGCAGTTTTTATACGTGCGTTGTGGGTCTATAATAGCATGTTTACTCCCGATGAAATATTAATTAGCTGTTGTAAACAGTTGTGAATTTCAAACGTTGTAGTTGTATAGTTTGGAATTATTTATCTATTGATTTGTCACGTTTTAGCTTATTGTTGCATTCTTGTCAATAGTTGCACACATCGCTCGTTAAATTTACAGTACAACAATCGTTATAGAATAAATGATTGAATCAATTACTATGCATAATTAATTTTAGCTTAGTTACATTAATTAGCATGATTGGAAATTCGTTCATTTTAAGAGATTATCTTTACACGAAAACAATTTTCATTATCTAGCTTGGTTTGTTATATAATGATGCAATATGACGAAAAATATAATTCATCACGTGGTAAATAGTTATTTGTGCATCTAGTGAGAAAAGTGAGCAATTGACTCACTCGAGAGAAATCCTTACTCACGAGCCGTAGGCGGGTGAGGAATGGTTTCTCGAGTGAGGCAATTGTACTTTGAACTCGAGTTGCACATTATACTTTTCCTACAGTTACCATAAAACAAATAAATTGGTGAAGAAACATAACCTATTTTTACACAGAAGTGAACTTTTAATATAACATTTAATGTGAAGTGACAATACAACAGTACAACAGCTGACCAGCTGATTTACAGCCAGTTCTGCCAACGTATTTCGCGCGCATACGACGTTGCCTGCATGTTACGCGCTCACTATTTCGTGCCTTCTCGTTGCAAATCTGGAGTGAGACAAAGTAATTAGAGTGAGACAATGTTAACATTGTCTCACTGATGAGCGAATTGGCAACTTTGCTTTCTCAAATCAGTGAGAGAACATGTACATTGTTAGGTAACTGTAGGAAAAAAGGTTTATTTATGCAATTCAGGTCACGTTTTAGCTGATTGTTACATCTTTGTCAATAGTTGTACATGTCGCTCGTATAATGCTCGTTAAAACGATCGTTATAGAATAAATGGTTTGATCAATTAATCTATATATTAATAGGGCAAGCGTGTTTCTCTAAAACCTTTTTTCTCAGCTCATGTTCATCGCAGGGTAAATCTTCGCATATTGTTAGAAATATATATTCCTGTATATGTGCAGAATCCCTTTATAAATAAAAATAGGCAAAAATAAGCACAATTAATTAATTATATATTTTAAAAAATTCAACATGGACCTTAACGGTTGCAATGGTGGTGTGGAAATAACAACAAAATATAAATCTTACTAATATTATAAATCTGAAAGTTTGTGAGTTTGTGTGTATGTTTGTGTGTTGCACAATCACGCATAAACTACTGGACGGATTGGGCTGAAATTTGGCATGATGATAGCTCACATTCCCTATTAACATTTAAGGCATATTCTTATCTCAAAAATCCTTTCGGGCTCCGCCCCAGTGTGTCTGTAGTTCCCCATGTTAACCTTATGAGTATTCATATTTAAAGGGAATTAAAGAATTTAGTCAGTTGTTTCAACTTTACAAGTTGGTTTTATAATATGCAATAGCATTAAAAAGTTATAAGGTTTCCCAACAGGGTGCAGCACTATTATTATTTTGTTTTTGCATTTATGACAACAGCTAATTTGAACCAAGCAGCAAAAAAAGCTGTGACACACAATGAGAACTGTCAAAGTAAGATTGTTTACAGTTAGGTTTGAGTTTTTAATTTAATGAATAATTTGTGATATTGTGCGAATGTTTGATAATTTATTTTTTTCTATTGTTAAGGTGAAATGGTAGAACATTACGGCAATGGTAGATGTGTTATATCTTACCGTAAATTTATGAACCAAATTTTATCACACTGTGTCCTCCCACCATTGCAAACGCAAAGCTTGAGTATAACTGCAATTAAGCATACGTATATGCCAACCCCGTACGAAGGACGGGCGCTCTGCTAGTATAAAATAAAAACAAATCGAAGAAATTCCAATCACATGTTTTAATTACAGCATGGGGTTAAAATAGAGTCTGTACATTACATATTTTTGGTCGAGTTTTGACCACTGAACGACCTCTAATTACTATAAATATACTTAGTTCCATTAATTAGCATAATTGAACATTGATTCAAGAGATTATTGACATGAAAACAATTTTCTTTTTATAGCTTAGTTTGTTATATAATGAGTTCATCACTTGGAAAAAGTGTTTATTTTTTCAACCGTTAAACTCCTGCTTATTTTCCGACCTCGGCTTTGCCTCAATCGTGAAACTTTATCCGGGGGTAAGAATCTTTTTATACCCTAGTTATTAAATATACGATAAAACGACTACATGTGCTGTATGTGTCTGTAGACGTAGTAAGTTTACGAGAATCATTGTTGTAATGCTAAACAGAAGCGTTCTTGACAATATATTTCATAAGTTTGGTCTTTTTCAATGTAAATTATAAATAATCAGATTGTAACTATTTTTGTATTTTAAATTAGACTATATTTAATTAACCGTGGGTAACTGCTACCTAAAAATACAAGCCATTTTCTGCAAAGATCGTTTAGAACAATTCAACTCTAAAATTCTTTACGTACAAAAAATACAAAAAGGTTGATTTCATGGTTAACAAAACAGTTTTTGAAAAAATAGTTCCTTCATTTTCTCTGAATTTTCATACATGGATAAAATTTACATTTACTGGATATTGGCTGTTTACTTACGTGACACCATGTATATTTCTCCAGAATACAGATGTTAAAATAGTTAACACATTTAGATAGTCATCACCACAAAAGAAAGGAGATAAATAATACACAAACACACCATACACAACCAATAAAATATAGACATTTATTTAAACAGAACCTAATGAAAAACGTTTGATGGTCGGAGATGGAATTTGAAAGGTGCAATAATACATTAGGCGTCATATTGCCGGGCCGAGCAGATACATATGTATACTATATACAAAGGTCGGCCCAGCTTGGGTATCTATCACTTTACATGGGGTATGTACAGTATATGTAAACAGATATGAAATATGAAAGTATAAACAGACATAACGTAATACAGGAATAAAAAGTTCGAAGCAGAGAGCGTCGTAACAAGTCTGATATCGAGCTATTCGATCTATCTTAAAACCTTACACACTACTAATATCACATATTTACAGTGTATAAAATTATGCCTGAAGCTCCTTATGCTAAAGTCAAAGTTGTACACATTTGAGCCCGAACTTGGAGCTGACTTTAACTTATGTGGACTGTCACAAAATATATTATTACTTAAAAACAGTTTTTGGTAATTCTGAGCAAAGTATGGGTCAACTAAATTTTTCACATATTACTGTTGTTCTGTTGGTAAGTAATAACTGAAAATGCAAGAATGTTTTGTGGAAAGCAAGTATTCGGAGCAGGTGACTATTTGAAGGTCAAAGGGCATTCCAGGCTGTAATTCATTATCAGCCACTACAAATCAGTTAGGTTAGGTTAGTAATAATACTAGGTAAAATACCTTATTTATGTCATCAATCCAAGTAGTCTTTTATAACGACTATAGTTTCGGGGCCAACACCCCATTCTCAAATTTTATCTCTTGTTAATCTACTGTTAATAGCATTTGGTCATCATTGAAGTCCACATATACACACACACTGACAAACGAAACATTTATTAACACGTAACACGTAACGTAGAAAATTTATACTTTTGGCCGGCATAAACAAAAGTGACTATAACGTTGTGCGGACCGGTACACTGACTGCTCAATCAATCCAGGAGGCAAAACATGGATAAAGTTAGGTTAGGTTTGGTTGGGTTAGGTTAGGTTAGCAGTTTTTAAAACCCAAATCTTTTTTGCTGGAAATATAAAATAACTGACTAAACTAAACTAACCTAACCTAACCTAGACTAACCTAACCTAACCTAACCTAACCTAACCTAACCTAACGTAACCAAACATAACCTAACCTAACCTAACTGTTTTTAGCGGCTGATAATGAATGATAACGCGGAACGCCATTTCACCTTTAATTAGTCGACTGCTCCAAATTCTTGCTTTCGGGCAAAAATGTATTTTATTTTCCAGTAACTACAAACCAACAGAACAATTAACGGTAATAAAAGGAAAATTTAAGTTGACCAATACTTGGCTCAGAATCACCTTATTCTTTAAATAATGTTTTATTTGGAAATAGATTTCTATCGGGACTCATCAAATCAATTATTTCTGAATTAATCTTATTGAACATTTTGAAAAAAAGTATCTGACGTAATGAAAAAATGTAGTGGGAATGTGTTTTAAACATAACTTGCAATACAATGCCATATTTATATAAAACACAATTTTTTAATGAGTTTTAGAATTATCTACTAAGTCCAACCGGTAGATTTACAATGTAGCTTTCTTAAAGAAATCAGAATTATGTAAAACATTAATAACATTACTACTTACACTAGTAAATTTCAAATGTATAAATAGTTTACTATAAACTCTATTAAAAATAAGAATGTATCTGTCAATTCATATATGTACTGCCAAGGAACTTTTAAGTAAATCTAAATCATCCAAACAATATAAAAAACACTAATTTGGCAACACATGGCTGAATGTGTTTTTGTTAACTACTGTGAATAATTGATAAAACAATCAAATATTTTTTTTATAAGAGCAATATGCACATCAAGTATAAAACAATTCTAAACTTAATCATATTTTACATTTTCATGGTATATTTACATTGGTAACCCTGTTTTATTGATATAGATTGTAAATTTACAAACGAAATGTTTCTACCGAAAACTAAATATTGCACTTAATGTATTACAGTATATTTTAACAATGGGCTTTACAAGCAGAAGTATATATTCATATGATAATTTAAACTGTCGTGTTTTGTTATAGTAAAAAAAGGAATGGTTTTTTAACATATGTTTGAGTGTAGAAAAAACGTAAAGGTTCAACAAATTCTTTTCAGTATATTACATTCGTAGTTTGACGGTATCTTAGTTTAGTTTATGTCTTACAATATGCTTAACAGAAATATAGTAAAAAGTGCAAAAAATTCTCAATTTAAACCATTTTTCAAGTAAAGCCCAAAATCCGTAACCTATATAATACAATTTCCTAACCGGAAACTATGTACAATATTCTCTATTCACTATATAACTATCCTGTAGAAAATCACATGTGTGTTTTCGCCCCTACCAGTAAATTACTTATTGAGAAAATACCACTAATTTAAAACCGAAATCGTAATAACCACCTCAGAATACAATACGAATATCCACAACTACATTAAAGTTTGATCGAACTGGGTTACAGATTGGATTATTAAAGATGGATGAAACAAACTGGTCAAATAGAAATCGTTAGTCTAGTAGTAAAACGACTCATAAGTAAACTGCATGGTTCACTGAAAGTCTGTCCACTGCACTATCAGTCTGTGCCATGGGAATGAGCTAGAGGCATAGGAAAGTCATGAAGTCTTATCTTGTAGCCATTGCTAAAAGTGGAAGAATCACAAACCAGAGCATTACGTCGACGCCGGAACCTGAGGAGGATTTCCGGCGGGAAATAGCCGCCATCTTGTCACCTGAAACAAAAAGAGTTGAGAGTCGAATTTGCACGACGTTAGAGTGGGTTTTTAATGGTCGTGATGATTGAAGAGTGGAAATGGTTGCATTGACAATTCATTTAAAAGTTATAATAAAGAAAATGTGTGGCAATTATCACCTAGTCAAAACTACTAAGCTCCTAATGACGGAACCAGCAGCCTTAAATTAGTTAGCAAACACTGTAAAGACTCGTCTATTGGCTAAATGAATTTCTCAATTTTAATACACTTAAAAATGTAGATAATTAATGCTTTACTTAATTTCAACACAATTGTAGCTAAGCAGGGCAAACCTCAAAAAGAGAGTTTATATTATTTAAAGTCTTATATTATTAACGTTGAATAAAACCCGAATTAAATTTCATTGTCTTCCAAGTTAAATAAATCATTAAAAATGTATGAAAAATTAAATAAAAATTTAAAAAAATTTCTTTGCAGCACAGTCTTTAGGGGCTAAATCAATGATGTTTTATTTGAGTATGATATTGGAGATCCTTGCTCATTATATGCATCATGATCACTTTGGTGACCAAAATTGAATGGGAATATCTCTTTTAGATACTACCTTTGACTAATAGTCAATGATACTACCCAATGAGGCCTGTAAAGGAGCTAGTTGTGTAACAAAGCTTTACAAATAATTTAAACCTATTATCTACTCATTTTACATTAGATGTTCGGTTTTAATATGCCATTGTGCATTTGGATTTGTATATTGTACATGGTAGCCTAATACAAGTGAAAACTAATTTTGAAGTTGGGGGAGAAAATGTATGGCATTGAACGTTTTTTTAGCATAACACAGAAAATAATTCAACAATTAAAACAGTAGTACATTCTCTGAAGGCCTCATTTAACGTTGTTCTATTTAAGTAAAATATTGTCTTAAGCTGATCTATACAGGGTGTTTTTTTTTTTTAGTGTGCCACCACTGGGATCTCAGTAACTAATGATTTTACAGCAAACTTTAAATGGGGAACATTCCCTTGTTTTTTAAGAAGTTAAAAAATAATTAAATACAGTTTTTGTAAATGGCTGTCATTTTCCAATATGGTGGTAAACTTTGAAATTTCTTATGGAACACCCTATATTTTATCATGTTTTCGGATAGAACATGCAATTTAAAAACCTTTTTATTCGTGACATTTTTTCGATAAACCCACTCGTTTAGGAGTTACAGCCTATGGAACAATGACTTCCGGTGTACATTTTACATCATGTAGCTCCTAAACAAATATGATTATAGCGAAAATGCGAGTAGTAAATAAGTCAAATAAGTCTTAAAATTGCACCCACATTCCATAAAAACCACAAAAATCTTTAAAAATATTAATTCTATTATTTCAAAAATGGCAGCCATTTTCCAAAATGGTGCAAACTTGAAAAGTAGAAAACTGTGTATTTTATGGTATTCATGGAATGTGGATGCAGTTTTAAGACTTATTTACTCTTCGCATTTTCGCTATAAACCTACTTGTTTAGGAGCTACATGATGTAAAATGTACACCGGAAGTCTTTGTTCCATAGGCTGTAACTCCTAAACGAGTGAATTTACCGAAAAAGTATCGAGAATAAAAAAAAGTTTTATCCGAAAACATGATAAAATATAGGGTGTTCCATAAGAAATTTTAAAGTTGACCACCATATTGGAAAATGTCGGCTATTTACAAAAATTGTATTTAATGATTTTTGAACCTCTTAAAAAACAAGGGAATGTTCCCCATTTAAAGTTTGCTGTAAAATCATTAGTTACTGAGATCCCAATGGTGGCACACTTAAAAAAAAAACACCCTGTATAGATGTCTGCAGGTTTTCTGCGGATATTTTACAAATATGTGCAGCCACAGAACTCTCACCCTCAGATACGAAGACAAAGATGGAGGCTGGCTCAGTGTTGGACGCGCTGCAGGTGTAGTTTCCAGAGTCGGTGTCGTGAGCCTCCCTGATCGTCAGGCGACTCTGGGTCTTCGCCCCCGGCTCCGTCTCCACAGTCACTCCACCCCTGGCCGTATCGTAGTTGATCATGCGGTCGTTGTGGTACCAGAAGACGTACTGGGGAGGCTGTGGGCTCTGCGGAAGAGGAATCATAAACACGTTTAGAGTACATTAAAATGAGTTTTAAACTGTTTATACAGTGTGTTTTTTATCGCAATCAAATTACAAGCACCGTAAGATGTTTTTTCAACAAAACAAACGCACATGTTGACATAGTTTGTTATGATCTTTTGTGTTATTGGTGGATATATTTTGATTCATACCTTACTCAATATGGTGTTTTTGAAAGATAAAATAATTGGTTTTTATGCCTAGATATGTTTGAAATTAGGTATCTAGGTGTGATTCTAGTACTTCAAACTTTCAAAATTAAGGGAAACAGATCCGTAGAATACCACATAAAGGAGATCTCCGATAAATAACTAAGCTTGAGAAAAAAAAACAAGTTAAGTTATATTTAACAATAAACTTTCAATAACTCTAAACGTCATACATATCTATCCAACAATGAATCTAACAAAAAACCACTAAGTGGTAACACTTCCCCCGCCAAGTCAGCAACCCAAAAAAGACAATAAATCACCACTTTTCCGCCAAGTAAAACAATGTAATGTATGTAAGTTTGGCAACTTGGCGGCAGACTTTTGCTTGTTTTTTTTTTCATTAAAGTTACGTTGGTGGATAATTTCACAAATCAACTTCTCTAATTAATTAGTCCAACTAAGTATAATAATTTCGAGGTAATCAGTAAATATAAAACCATCACTATTATGATTTTATGAAATGTGACACAAATAAGGTCAAATTTTGTAAAATAAGCTCTCATCTAGCAATGTACTATTGGGAGAGATACTTGCTCAATGAAACTAATTTTATGGTATTTTTTAAAGTGATCAAGCAAAAGTCTGTCGCCAAGTGGCCAAACTTACATACATTACATTGTTTTACTTGGCGGAAAAGTGGTGATTTATTGTCTTTTTTGGGTTGCTGACTTGGCGGGGGAAGTGTTACCACTTAGTGGTTTTTTGTTAGATTGTATTTGTTTTTGTAGAAAATTAACAGTTAAAATAAAAATCCTCTTTTCTCTTATATAGACCAGGGCACAACTACACATAAAATGCATTGGTGTTACATAAGTGTTCCGATAATTAAACTCGTATATCTAAAGACTAGTGTAAATTGAGCCCTTATTAGAGAAGTAAAAATGTAATCAAACAGATTAGGTTTGTTAGAAATAGCATAAGGCAAAACAAATATTGAAAAACTCATTTTTATCCTAAATTTACATATCACTTTTTACATTCACTTTTTTGCTTGTTTAACATACGTAGACGAATTTTCCCGATTGTTTTATTTGTTTTAGTGTATCAAAACATAAAACTAACCTTATTTAGTTAAATAAATTTTGGCAATATTATGAAAAAACAATGTTAAAACTAACCTTAGTACTAGTACTAAGTTTCAAGTTCCTAGGTTTCATATGTTTTGATAAGTAGTATTAAACTGTTAAAAATGACGAGCTGCTGTACCAGTATACCATCGGTACACTGCATTTTTCAATGGAAAGTATCGGGGAATATCACTGCTCTAAGTAATTTTATATAGTAAGTAGCTCAAATCATTCGGTATACCTGAAAAAAATACTTTATAAAAGTTTTAAAATAATTTTTCAGCTGATCCTATGAATTTCTCTAACATTTTAAATTAATTGAGATTTAATCGCAGCTGATCCTTCTTTTGTTTTGATTTTAATCCCATGTTATTTAAATGGGCCAAAATCGTACTTTGAGGGCTTGCCAAGGGTTTATGGGTCAACGCACCGACTTGTGACCCTCAAAAGGCACATCTACACGCTAAGGGCTTTCAAACAACATAAAAAACATTAAAATTGAGCCAGTGGTTTGGGCTGTAGGTCCGTCAACATTTAAGGAGAAGAAGGAGAACACGGAAAATTTGTGAATTTTCAAACTAGTTTTTCTTGGCTCAAACACAACCTTTTTTTAAATTCTTTTTTTTATTTTGCCAAGAATGATTGCCCCTATCCAGTGGATGAACAATTATTTTAATAGCTTTTGTTTCTTCAGAGCTATAGACGAGTAAAAAAGCCACTTTGTCACGTCATGTATATATACACTGCAGCAGCTGTGTACCGCTGGGGGACTTGGCGGGGCGGAACGCTGCCGCGTTCCTTAATATTAGCTGATTGGCAATAAAGTAAATACATATTAGCTAGCTTTTTCGTTGTAGTAATTATTTGAGTTGCGTTTTAAACAACACCCTAATCCTCAATAAAATTTATATACTTACTTTACTTACTTACTTACTTAAGTAAGTAAGTAAGTTTTATCCTCAATAAAATTTCTATACTTATTTGATTACTTACTTAAGTACTTACTTAAGTAAGTATATAAATTTTATTAAGGATAAAACTTACTCAATAAAATTCCTCAAAAATACTAAATATACTATAAATATAAATATATAATATATATATATGTATATATATATAAATATAAATAAAAATTAAATATAAATAAATATATAAATATATATATATATATATAAATATACTAAATATCCTCAATAAAATGTATATACTTATTTACTTACTTACTCAAGTACTTACTTAAGTAAGTAAGTATACAGGGTGAGTTTCTACTAAGTGCGTTAATTTTTACCAGTTATTCTACTTACTAAAAGGAACAAAAAATGACAATCAAAAAATTTTCATCCCTACCTGTTAGGCTGTAATGGCCGATTATGTGAATTTTTAAAATTACCTGTAGTAGCTTCACTAAAACGAGCATAGAAATTAGGCCAATACACGTACAGCATAAAAACTTATACCAATCAAAAGAGAGTAAAATTTCCTACAAAACCGTTGCAACACCTTTAACATACAACCATATTTTCACCGTTATATGTCTCACATAAAATAAAAAATAAGTTTCAAAATTAATTCTTTACAACTTCAAAGTGGTGTTACAACTATTAACACTTATGTGATGTTTTGTCAAATTACGTAAAAAACTTTCCCATTATATGCCCTTTAAGCTGATGTAACCCATTATGTTACTGCTGTATTAAAAGTTCGAAAAATTAGGTCAAAACCACGTCAAGGTCCGAGTTTTCGGAATCAAAACATTGAACCAAATGTAATACAGTATCTGTTAATTTCTTTGCTATCTTATAATCAGCTGACATCTGATCAGCTGGGTGTTAAACTTTGTTTACAAAACCAGCTGATTTCAATTGTTGGCTTGTAAACATTCAAACTATTAACTATTTCGTGAACATACTTGGAAAATATTATAATTTTTTAGTGCTATGTCGGTGTTCACCAACAAAGTGTCATAAATCATAAATCATAAATCATTTAATTGGCCAGATTTACATGAATGCATTGGCTAAGTCAATATACATTTAAAAATTAAAGATTGTCTTGATATGATTTCATTTTCCGGGTTCTGTTCTCAAATGCGGCTGTAATCTGACGTGAATACAGTCGTCAGTTTCCTAATAGGTGACTTTCAAATGAACGAATATTCATCAGTGTCCATACAAGTTTCCATGGGCACTAAACATCATTCTGTTGGGAACGTGATACAAGACGTGCATTGTGTATGTGTTTAAGAAGCTGTGTCAGATGTGTTGGGGTGGTTTGAGGATGATCCACGGACAAGAACAATGACAGTTTCTCGTGACTTAGGTATTTCTCAGCTATTGAGAAAGGAAAAATTGCATCCCTACCATTTTACACGAGTACAGATTATTGAACCAAGAGATTGTCTACAGAGACTTCAGTTATGTCGCTCTGTTAGTTGACTTGATCATCGTGACTTCCTCAAGTCGATTTTGTGGACAGACGAATCCAAGTTTACTCGGGATTGTATTTACAACATCCATAATGGACATCACTATGCTACAGAAAACCCACATGTGATACACCAGTGTCGAAACCAAACAAGATTTCAGTTGAATAGATTACTCTAAAACCAGTTAGTTGGCCATTTCATTGATCTTCCATATTCATTAAACTGCGGTCAGTATCTCAACGTCCTTACTGATACTCTACCAAGGCTCATTGAAGACGTTGGATGTACGTAAGCGAATAGTTTAGCAAGCATATGGTGCACCTCCCCACTTCAATAATGGTGTGCGAATTTACATTGGAAATACTTTCTCAATGTGGATTGGAAGAGGCGGATCAATTGCTTGGCCACCACAGTCACCAGACTCCAATGGACTACTACGCTTGAGGTTACCTCAAATAGGAAAATTACCAAACACTAGTTCAAACAGCGGATGAGCTAAGAAATTGGACTTAAGCTTCCAACCTTCTTCAAGAGGAGCTAAAATTAATGGTAACAGTGAAAAACTTTCGGAAAAGACCATATTTATGACCACATGTAATAGAGCAAAAATGGTAAACATTTTGAAAACTTACTTTGATTAAAAATCTAGAAACCAGACTTTACAGGATTCATTTTGTTTATTTGTACAAATGTATTAACCTAGATTTTTATCAAATTTATTTTGAATTTTTGTCATAGAATTATAAAATAATGAAATAGTTAATAATTTAAATGTTTACAAGCCAACAATTGCAATCGTATAGTTTTGTAAACAAAGTTTAAGACCCAGCTGATCAGATGTCAGCTGATTATAAGATAGCAAAGAAATTAACAGATACTGTATTACATTATTTGGTTCAATGTTTTGATTCCGAAAACTCGGACCTTGACGCGGTTTTGACCTAATTTTTCGAACTTTTAATACAGTAATAACCTTATGGGTTACATCATTTTAAAGGGCTTGAAATGGTAAAGTTTTTTACGTAATTTGACAAAACATCACATTAGTATGTGTAGTTGTAAAACCAATTTGAAGTTGTAGAGAATTAATTTTTAAACTCCTTTTTTATGTTATGTGAGACATACAACGGTGAAAATATGGTTGTATGTTAAAGGTGTTGCAATGGTTTTGTAGGACATTTAACGCTCCTTTTATTGGTATAAATTATTATGCTGTACGTGTATTGGCTTAATTTCTATGCTCGTTTTAGTGAAGCTACTACAGGTAATTTTAAAAATTCACATAATCGGCCATTACAGCATAACGAGTGGGGATGGAAAATTTTTGTTTGTCATTTTTTGTTCCTTTTAGTGAGTAGAATAACTGGTAAAAATTAACGTACTTAGTAGAAACTCACCCTGTATAAATTTTATTGAGGATAAAACTTACTTACTTACTTAAGTAAGTAAGTAAGTAAAGTAAGTATATACATTTTATTGAGGATTAGGGTGTTGTTTAAAACGCAACTCAAATAATTACTACAACGAAAAAGCTAGCTAATATGTATTTACTTTATTGCCAATCAGCTTATATTCGTTGTTGGATAGATATATATGACGTTTAGTGGTATTGAAAGTTTATTGTAAATATGACTAAACTTGTTTTTTTGCAATCTTAGTATCTATCGTAGATCTCCTTTATTTGGTTTTCTACGGATCTGGTTTCTTTAATTTTGAAAGTTTTTTGAAGTAATTTTGAAAGTAAGTACTTAAGTAAGTAAGTATATAAATTTTATTGAGGATCAGGGAGTTGTTTAAAACGCAACTCAAATAAATACTACAACGAAAAAGCTAGCTAATATGTATTTACTTTATTTCAAATCAGGTAATATGCATTGTTGAATAGAGGACGTTTAGTGTTATTGAATGTTTATTGTAAATATGACTAAACTTCTTGCAAGCTTAGTATTTTTCGTAGATCTCGTTTATTTGGTTTTATATGCATCTGGTTTCCTTAAATTTTGAAAACTTTATATAGATACATATTATGATATTAACCGGCTTATAAAAGCATTTTGTGAAGTCAGATATAATGATATAAATAGTGAACGCGGTCTAGACTCGTGGTTAAATAAAAATATACTGAATACCTAAAGTAACCTTAAATTCGAATCCAAAGAATAAACTTTTGATAAAAACCGTCTAGCTGAAAAGCTATTGTTATTTAGTCCAAAGCTCAAATGTAATTTTTTTTAGTCTTATGTCGAACCTGTTATGTCTTTCGTTTTCATTTTCCTTAAAGTTCATCAACAAAGAGCGTATTCCGATTTTAAATGGGACCTGGAAGGATTAAAATTTAGCATCGTACTTTAGCTATTAGTATTTTTATAGCTAGAATTGAAATTACCTTGTCAATCATGCAGACTAGGCTGATCACACTTCCGACATCAACATGGTGTTCGCCACTTCCGAGGATGAATGCTTCCGGGACAACAATGTGAAGATTGACGAAATGAGACATTATCCCAGTTCCAGTAGACACCTATTATAATTATATCAAATTAAGTACACATAAACCTTTATTCACAAAAAGATTCACGATTATACTTAAATTATTATCTTTAGTCAGTATTAACTTAACACCATTATTATTAAATTGTTAAGGGAGGACATAGTATGGGTCTTTGGGGAACGAGCCGGTCTAGTGGTTAAAGCGCGGGACTCCGGTTCCTGGGGTCCCGGGTTCAATCCCGACAAATCACCAATAGATTTTATCTAAGTGATAATGCCATAACCCATAGGTCTACCCTGAAGTAACGTGAAAAACAATTCCGGGCTCGTACCTAGCGTCCTAGGTAAAAAGTACACAAAAAACATCCAAAATTTTTTTTGTTTTTTCAGACACACAGCAGAATTATAACTTGTACTCTAAGCAAAACCGCGTGATTGACCTTGCACATTTTACCAACCATAAAAAAGTATAAACAAAAATTACAGTTATTAATTTTACCTTTAATTACAACACTTGTCCAAACATAACATGATAAATTGGACGTAATCTATTTCCGCTGATTATAACGTAATTAATTGAGCCCGCCCACCGGGGATTGATAGTATAATTAGTGGTATAATTTTGTTACTGATCCCTCTTGAGTTATAGCTTGATTTATCAGTTATTTTCAATCATTTAACAATCGACGTTTTTAAAAAATGACGCGAAACATTCATAACGTTGAAGAAGTGCTGTTTTATATACAGTATTGTTCTAGTTTCGATTTATAAAATACATTAGTATAGTTAACATATACATTGTTTAGGGGTATTCCTATTCCATTTGTAGAGTTTTGGACTTCGGACTGAAATTGAACAGTTCAGTCTCCAGCTTATCCAACAAAAAGCAGATTTTTCCATTTAAATTTACTGAAATGGACAACTAAAAGGGTTTTGGTGTTTGTTAGTTCGTAATTCCAATAATTATGGTATAATAAAATAGTTTGAAAATTGTTTCAGTACCGTTAGTCTTATTGTGGTAATGTCTTATTAGTATACACAAACTATAAGTGTACTTATACATATTTTGATTATAAGTCTTTAACTACTTTCGCTATCCCTCCTAAATAACTTCTTTCATCGTACGTGTTAGATCATTGCCTAAAGGTACAAACAAACAAAAATCCGTCAAATATCACTTTTAATAATATACTCACACTTAAACTGTAGACTCACAAGAAGGTAAATACATATAAAAGAAGGTGAGTGGTGATCGATTTTGATTAGGCACTCCAATCATCAGATCCAATAGGCGAATCTGATTCGCCAATTAGAGAGTGGTTCGTTCTGATTGGAGTGACCAATCTGAATAGATCAACACTCTTGTGTATATTTACCGTCTTGTGAGTAAACAGTATACGTGTAAATATATTAATACAAGGTGTTATTCAACGTATTTTATATACTTTTATGTTACTTTCCTAATACACTGCTTTTGAATGTACACAAAAGATAAAAACACAAAACAATAAACATCGTATGAAACGTTTACAAGAGGCGAACATTTTTAGCCAATAACGTAGCTGAGAGGGTGAAGGCAATGTAACCGTTAACATTGTGGGTACGAGGTTATCAGCACTACAGCAGGTTATCAACTATTCAAGGCTCGGTCAATAAGTAATGATATGGCCTCGTCTCGCGAGCTGATCCGAACGAAGCTGTAAACTTTAATATTGTGTACTTTCCGTGGCCCCTTCATCCCCCCCCCCCCCCCCACCACCACCAGCACCGCCTCGACCCTCTTATTTATGTACACAAAAGTCTCTCTAGGCGGCCATATTTTTAACATGGAGGAGAAAATGAGGTATATAATTTACATTCCAATCCTCCTCGGCTCTCTTACCTGAGGTAAATCTCTTTAAAATGAAGTTTCCTTCTGGATCTCCTAGGTTTTTTGAACGAATTATGCAGGAAGGGTGGAATGTTTATTTTGAGATTAGATATGAACGATGGTTGTTTCAATCTATATTTTTGTAAACACGTCGTAGTATTTTGTGTAGCATTTAAATTCAAGAAGAATAAAATATAGTTTTTCCTATATCATTTCTCATACTACATCTCTAAAAACACATCTCTTGTTTTCCTAAGAAATCGTTTGTTTAAGTTGCGGGCTGGGATTCAGGGATGTATTTCATCTATAAATTTGAACTTAGCGGTGTTCTATGTTAATAATCACTCAAGTGTTCCAGGAATCTTTTTTATTTTTGAGACCGAGTAACTTGAAATGCATACAACACAAGTTGAAATATTGTTTTTAATAACCATGTGAAAAAACAAGCATAACCTAAAAAATCTGCATTAGTTAAAAATATATAACGACAATATTAATTTCCCATTATATGATTGAATATATCTTTTGACTATACATGTATAGATAGATAATGGGGTCTTTTAACATATTACTTTTATAAGGTTATTATAAAGTCTTCAAACTTAAAGCAGGGTTGGCTTCGATATCTGGTGCAATCTTAGAGCAGTAAAATAACTCCCAAGTAAGGTAAAAAGACACAATACTGTCCTACATGTTACACGGAATATGACACCTCTTGCAAGCAGAACAATTAGGCCACATATTTCATGCAACGACCAAATCAAACGAACGCGATGTAGCAATCGATGTACCCATTATTTGTGACACTCAACAAAGCCCAACCAAACTGCAAGATTATGCTGGCTAGTGGAGTTGCGAGAGGCATCCACTGAATTGCCAATATTACCGGCAATAGCCAAAACTGGGTTTTGGACTGGTATCCATGATATTCCAAAAAGTATTGTTAATAACTGAATGACCGTCACATAATCAGTGCAAGAAAGCCCACTTCATCAGGTAACTGTAGAAAAAGTAATGAAATCAATGGTTTTCGTTGGACTTGCCTGACATTCGTAGGTGCCGTTGTCTCTCTTCTGTACATATTTGATCTGCAGGGTCCAGTCATCACTCCCTTCACCATGTAGTACCTGGAACCTCTCGTCATTGGTGTATGTAAACATCCCAGACGTCAGGATGTGCCAGTCCCTCCGTCTCACCCAGGATATCTGTAGAAAACAAGAAACAAGAAATGAAAAACAATTTAAAAACATCAGTGTAGTTGTTTGTTTATAATAAATAAATTTCATGAAAAAGTTACGGAGTCATCAAGTCCTGAGCTTCATAAATTTAAGGTGAATTGCTATGAGAACATCATAAAACTAATCAATATTAATTAATATGTCATCGTTATAAATTTGTATGGTAAGGAGAATACGACTATTGTAAACACAACTATATTCAAGTACTATGTACGACATAAGATTAAAGAAAATGTGATAGTAAATGCTTATGATAAAATGATAAAAGATCATTGAAAGATAAATTGGTGTAAAACTAGGTAGAACTTAAAGTAATCAAAAAATGTTCTTTACTTCTGATTGGCCCTTAATCTAGAGCAATAACGAGTAATTTACGTATCTAATATGCAGTTTGATAGAATTTAGGTTACTTAAATTAAGAAATAGTTTTTCTTTAACCGTCTAAGCTACATTCAAGCTCAGATTAATAACCCATTTGTTGAAGTGATAGTTGGATTTTGCATTTTCTGCAAAAAACCCTTAAACGCTGACATTACGTTTCTTAACTGTCCAATCATTCAAAATGCTAAAAGACCACCATATCTAGTCACATCTTGATAATTTTATCAGTTACGAAACGTTTAACAGACTTCCAGTCAACAGAACAATATATAAATTTAAATGCATAAGTAAAATGTAAATTTTAAGGATTTGAAAAGTGTCAATACGTGATATAGTTTTGTTAATTTTGTACGGTTAGGATTTAACCTCGAACTGAATTACAGTTCCAAAATCACATTTCTCAATAATTATAAAGATGTGTAGCTAGCCGTGTGATTTTAGTGCTACCCAGTTAAAAATGCTTGATCAGGAAAAATATTGGTAATGGGTTCTGCCCCATCTGTTCTTGATGACTAAGCATTAGTTTAACGTTCCTGACTAAGAACACAGCTGGTCTTAGTAACTAAGCTACGAAAGTCATGTAATTTCTTTACTCGTATTAGGATTAAAATATGCCCAATTTTGCCAAAATTTCAAAGGGTAATAATAGGAGACTATACATCGGGTTTGAAATGTAATGTAAACAGTTTTTATTATGCCATAAACTGTTAATCATTTTATGTTCCAGGTATTGAATTAAAAGTCTATAACTCTCAAAGAGGAATAAAAGAAACAAAACTATGTAAAAAAGTAAACATGTATTTCTAAAATATGCTATTGAAATGCATTCATAATTAAGGAGTACATTTTACTAAGTTTATCAGTTCCTAAAGCGTTGACAACTTGGGCGTAAATTCTTTACAACTCTGTTTAATTTGGACCCAATAGGGAAGAAAGCAAAAACGAATGGTAAATTATCAATTGTTGATACTTAGTATTGTAATACAAATTGTATAATAGAATAGTGCAAATTGAACTGTTTTTGGCTCACAAAAGCCATATTGAAAAAAAAACGAAATATATCGATTTCATCCTAACTTAATAAATGCTGACCAAACCAGGTGACTACAAGTAATACACGTATTTGGCCAGATGATGTTAAATGCTTTTGTTTGGAAAACAGTTCAATATTTATGTGTTTTTGGTGTTGCTTCACAGTTTAAGTAGCAAACAAATTAATTTAAATAGTATTCGAATTAAAATACAGTTGTGCTGCAATTAATCAATGAAAAGATTAAACCAATCGGATCTCAACTTGTTTATTTCAAAACGTCCATTTATTACCTAAAAGGAGTTAAACAGTTTATGACCTGAAGGTTTATTGGATTGTAAAATTAACTAACAAATCCAAGTATTTATTTGATTGGCTCAGTTTTCCCCATGAATAAGATCACATTTTCCTTATTTTGGATTACCGTTGGAAAGCAAGTCATTTAACTGTCAGCGCAATACCATTATTGATATGTTATTCTATTGTTAATAAGACAATAGAAACTTATTGAACTAAATAGAGCTTATTCGTTAAAATAGTTTACAAAAGGTGTTTAAAATATTTATTAAATTTGCTAAAAAACCCTACACCATCACTAGAATTAGTTGTAGTAATACATTTACTAAATTGGAAAATACCGTTTTATAGATTGGCCAAAACCATGCATTCAAATTTTCTTGGTTGACAATCAGCGGCAGACAAAAATTTATCCTTGAAAGTTAGGTTTTCACATAGACAGTTTAAGATATGGTAATACAACTATTAAAATAAGGCACACCTTTAGAAAAAGACTGTAAGGAAAATATTTTTCTTAACTTTTTTGTTCATCCAAACAGTCGTTTGCGCTTGAATGCAAACGGATAACGGACGAAACACGGATAAAAAAGATGTGCTGGACATTGGTACTCGCTGATTTACTTTTTTATGGTCATATTCACTAGCTAGGTCCAATATAATATACTTCAAAACAAATGCGACGTTAATTGCATTGTAATAATATGCATGGCCATGCATAAATCTAAATCGTTAGGTTATGGTACGAAAATTGTATTCCGGGATAATTGAAATATCACTAAAATCTATTATCAACTTATAGGATTTAGTTCATGGATTTTATCGCTAAAGCAATGCTTCAAGATCATGTGTATGGCCAAGCATATCTTTGAAAGGTATTATTAAGGATAGCACTGCTCCAGATTGCATTTTGGTGAAATGACTGGACTCACATCAATAAAATACATCGATTAATATATGAAGTTTTTTACTAGAGTTTTATTTACCGTTCGTTCTCCCAGGTTGCGTACTCGGCAATGCAGGAAGGCTGTTCCGCCAAGTTGTACTGTGATGTTAGACACAGTATTGTTGTCAAAGCTGGGTTCTGTGAGACGTTGAAACTCTTCAAAGTTTGAGTACCAGAGCTGTTGCCACTCTGCGGCATGTCTGTGTGTGGGGACCTCCCTTTTGGCTGTAAATCAGAGACAGAATCAAGTTTTAAATAGCCATATGCATTTATTATTTTTATATTATTTTAGTTTCTGCGCTGATAGTTCAAACACTTGTCTATCTACCGTTACGTTTTTATTAGATAGCCTCGTATATGAGCAAAAAAGACATCTTGGTCCAGAAATTATCTCGCTTAGAGCCTAACTAATGACCCTTATATTTGAAAGTTAGCACTGACTCGGCTATCCACATTTAAATATGTATAAATAAGGCTGATCCATATTTTGAGCATTAGTATAATTTACAAAAATGTGATCTTGCAGTTAAGAAAACCATCATATAGTTTTCAAAACTCTTAACAAGTCCAGACCTTTTATCAAATTACGAAATTTCGGAAATCTTTGTCTGAAAAACGAACGATTTGGATAGTTTTTTTTTTTTCAGGTGATAGGTCAAACTGGTGTTTAAATATTTATTTAAACAACCACGTAATACAATTTTGTATATTTTTAATGTTTTTTCTGTACTTTTACCGTCACAATGTTAGAAAAACACACAACCAAACACAAAACCTAACTGTTTAATTACAACACCTTTCATAAAAAAGACAACTAATCCAGAGATATATGTAAGCCAGAGAGAGGGAAGAGAGAATAGAGATATGTAATCTATCACATATGTATTATCCTAAAAAAAAAAAAAAAAAAAAAAAAAAAAAAACACACAGGAACCACTTGAATTATTGTTAAGTTTCCCTTACCAACATAGTATAATTACAAGAAAGGGATTGGAATAAATCCATACTAACGTTAAATTATAATAATGTATTCCATAGAATGACTAGTACATTGAATACGATGAATCGAGTAGAGTATTAAATAAAGATACACTTTGTCTAGTCATTATATAATCTACCGTTAACACAAAAAACCTCTCCACTAATATTATGTCATGAATTGTATCTGATATTTTGCAAGGTCATTATTATAAGTAGGACGGTCATTACAAGACAGACACTGAGGTTGGAGCATCATTACATGTGATGTAACCACGGCGGACGTGACCGGACCCAGCTGTGCAATCTCTGTCATTATACACGAGACGAGCAACTTCATATCAGACACTTCTGCACAATACAATGTGTAATAAATCTATACATTTATGAAGTATCTTGCATAAAGGCTTAAAACATTTCGTTGTATTTTAGGCCTATGGTTATGAATGTTTTGATATTTTTGATAAACGAAAAACTGAAAAAGGCTGGAAATCATTTTCAGGACAGTAAGTGTAATGAAATTTGTATTATAATACAATTTTTTTTTTTTGTTTTTTTAAGTGACTACTTTTAAGAGCCAAAAGGGGTGTGAACTGACAAATTGAATGCAATATTCATTGGAGATTTCTAAGACACGTTCAACTTTGTTCGTTATTAATATAAATATCAACAATAAATCGTACTGTTTGTTGTATACACATATTACTAGATATTGAGGTGTTTTATTTTGCTTGATTGCTCCACAATAATACCGAGTCACCGAATCAAATTCCTAGATAGCCTTGATGCAGAATGTAGCTAGAACATCGTGGTTAATAGCTTAGATAAACTTGTCTGCACCCTGTTTTATAATCTCTCTTCATACTTTATTCACATAAGATCTATTTTATGCTTGTAACGGTGCTTGTTAATCGAAACATCATGTAATTGGTATTGTTAGTAGTCAGACAAAAATTGTATTCCACACAAGTATGCACGTATAGATGTGGGTCAGCAATAAAGATCATTACATGATGCCAAGCAGTGTATCTAGTAACCTATCAGAATATTTTTTACCTCAAAACAAGCAACTATGCCCTTTCAAAAATAGGCAAGTCTGTGTTATTCAATCATTACATCTTACACCACGAAGAAAATACTTGAAAAATATATCGATAGTTACATATTACTTGGTTGCATGTTGTACATAGATTGATGGATTAGTGGTGTTATGGTACTAAATAGTATATTCCGTTCTTAGGGCCAAAATGGCGTTTTGCCAGCTCGTGATCGTTTTTTAAGTTCGAGACAAAGTCAAGAACTTCGAGCATTCGAGAGCTGAAAAACCGTTTCGGCCCGTGGTACGAACACTATGTTTCACTATGTTATTATGAATAGATATTCATAATAACCTGGCCTTTACATGCAATCCGTTCAGTTACGGAACTTTATACTGTCATTACATGTTATTCATTTACAACACACTTCACTAAAGCCAAGTTCTTCACCATACACGTCATGCAATGGGTGGGGTTGGGAAGTTTTACTATTGTCAACACAACATACATGTCTAGGGTATGTCATGCAATGAGCTGAACTATAATTATATTCTATTTCCTGAGACAGACATGTCATATATGATTGACATTGCGGTGACATACAGTCATTCATGGTGACATATACAGGGTAAACAATGTAGATAATAATCACTGATCATCTAGCCAATCATTCCAAGCGATGAGTTTTATACAATGCAATAAACAAGCGGTAATATTTCAACAATCAATCTAGGGCCGTATTTTATGCAAGGGTTTGACGATGCATATTTTACACTCCATTATTTCCCGAGAGCATTCATCAGAGCTGGACTGTTTGCATTTGTCAATGTTGCAGCTATGATTTTGTATTAAAAAAAGTGGTTGGTATGGTAATTAAAAGTATTGAAACAATGTTTTTTTTTTTTAATCATACGTGTCCTGTACTTTATTTTTATTATTTAATTTTTGTATATTTGTTAGTTTATACAGCTAAATGCTATTAAAAGAACTCTAAATACTATCAACATTTGAATAATTTATACATTGTGTGGATGTAAATATATGCAAAACGTCGAATAAGATTTTTTCCGGCCAAACTGCTAGAAAGTCCGATTTTAAGTTGTAGCAAGTTTTATATCACATTAAGTTTTAAGTTTTAATAAATAATCACTTATCGACACTGTTAAATGTACTGTAAGTATGAGCTAAATGAATAAAGATTGTTTGAAATGAAATTAAATGAGTATATTGTTTAAAATATTTCAAGTCAGTCAAAATCTAGTTAGAAAGAATCCATATCTGTTCATCGTAAAAATTGGACTCTTAAACTTAAGCGGGCGAATTAACAAATATTCATATTTTGATGTGGGTAACTTTAATGTTATAATAGTTGACTTAGAGTAAAATTAAAATAAGATATATGCTACACTAGGATAGTCATGTATATTTTATCAGACATATTTTGGCGTAAGTATTTGGTCAGTTGGGTTACACGTTCTTTTTTATAAGTTTTAAATTGGACTTAATGAATAAATGTAAAATTAAGTTTTTAAACTCCTTGTTGAATATTTTAGTGTACCTGTATTGTCTTAAAATCCGAGCTACCCTATTTTAAACTTTATTTTATATTTCTATTGAATGAATACTATTTTGATGTACTAGAAAAATATAATACAATAATATTAAATCCGACATCTGTAGCTCATGTATTGACAATGTATGTTAATTAAGGTGTTGTGAAATCCCAAATAAAATGTTATTTATCTACATAATTATAAACACTGTGCTTAGTGATACGAGAATTTAATTTTACTGTAATACATTAAATTGCCAGATTGTTTACACAAAACTCACCATTAAAATGTAAGGAAAGCAATTTTAGTTTACCTACGCACCTAAATAAATATATATTTGTAGTAAACATCTATTTAATAGTAAATCCAATTGTATTGAAAATATATATTCAATAAACGGCAACAATTCCAACCCCCTTCATCTTAGAAAATACAAAACACAACTTCATAAGATTTTTCACAACATTTTCGGGTAAAACTAAACTGCCGTACATGATAAGGGCCAGATTATGTATTTACACGGGCCGCTGGGGGTTGTAGGGACAGGCCATCAAATCTGATGTTGCCTCAAACGTGACCGGTCCCATATGGACAATCCCAGTTCATTATACTCGGCATCCCTTGCTGCATAATAGCTGACAATGGTGCGCCATAACATGGGGCGTGCAGGGTGTGTTCGTACTATCGATAATCATATGACCTCGATACAGTTATACGTAGATTTAGAACTGAAATAAGATTTTTTTGTTGAATTTGTATTTTGAGCATTTTGTGCAGTTTGTATGTGTACGTTTTTGTTGCCTACTTGGCTGAAATGGTCAAGTTAAATGGTTTAAAATCTAAAAATTCATAAAAAAAGCATATTTACTACCGATCTTTTGATATAGTAGTGTGCCATTTAGTATATTTAAGACAGTTAGTACTCTATTTTCAATTAATGGTAATTTTAGTCAAAATCTTATTTGTAAACAAAAAAGTTAGTTTTTAACATGGAAATATGCTTTAACGAAAACGAATACGACAACTGATTGTGGTAGATCTTGAGATTATTCTGAGAAAATGTTTTTCATTTAATGTTTAAGCACGGAAAATTACAGTAACCAATTTAAAAGTGAAATATTCTAGCCACTCATAGACTGGCAACAGTTTTCGTCCAATATGATTTTTTTTCCAACCTATTGGTGACTTGGTCGTATAATTTCTATCTGCTTGAAAAGAATATAAACTATATTCTAGGTAGGGTAATTGAAAATAGAACAAAAATCTCCAACCAAATTCCATTCGTACCAACTGTTATTTTGTCACAATGAAACAATTAATCATAGAAATATTGTCAAAGGGACAGTAAACTTTATTTGTATGTTCATATCGGAAAGCTAATACAGCTAGATTTTTAATAAAACATACTATTTTTTATTTTTCATTTTAACAAATAAGTTAATTACTTCAATAAATTTACTTCTTTGTTTAAAACTGTATTCTTTAATTGTACACTATTTGAAACAAGGCAAACAGTGAAAATTATCTGGGTAGCTGAATCGTAACAGTGTTTTACAAACAAAATAAATTATAGACGTAGATAGCAATTGCCATTTGCTATTAATATGCTTTATGCTATATCATGAAAGGCTGTCGTTAAATGATGACAAGACCAAAGTTTTGGACAATTCCAATTCGAAAAACAAAAAAAATATGTAAATCTGTTTATGCCTTCTTTTGTAAAATAAAAACTGAATAACATACCAACTTATGCAAATAAAATAATTTCTTCCTTCTAAAAATATATTCAAATTGTACACGCACGTACACATAATTTATATTAGATTATACTTGTGTGCTCGTAATATTCACCTTTCTCTTGTAGGGAGCTGGAGACCAGTATGGTCAGTTGAACCATAAGTGCCAGAGGACTTGAGTTCACCATTCCGTGGCTTGGTATTACGCCTCACCGATTACTGAAACAAAAACAAATTCAATAAAATCACCAAATTTTCTCTGATTACCTTATTTCTGAAAATAGCGCTCTGTATCAAGGCCGAAATGTCGATCAGTGTTGGTATTTCCTCATGTTTGACAAGGTTGTAAAAGTTAAATTAGTATTTTCCAATAAATATTTGTTTTTATTTAATGTTTTCATGTAGTTAATTATAAATTTGTCAGTAATATTATTGTATTTTAACTGTATCCATAGAAAGCGGACCCTAAATTTCATAAACACTCTACAAAGATATACAATACATTATAAATAATTCATTTCCATTAATTACACCAAGTGAAATCAAAATGGTTTAGATTTAATCGATCTGCATTTTTAAAACATTTATACAGTGCTTGATTTAAGGTAATATTTTGGTGTGACATTTTTATCTTCCTAATAATTAAAAAAAAAAAAAACTGTTTTTACTCTAAATACATCAATTAAATGCACTTTCCAAACATAACAACTCATAGAAATCATCTGTTGAACTCGATAAACGATTTTTACAAAAGTCAAGTTCAGCGATCATTTAAAAGGCGTGAACTGACACTAGAAGTGGCGGGGCTATTGATGGCATTCAAGGACCATCCAATTAAAATGGAAATGATGACAGATTCCTGTGCAAACGCTGCTCAATTCTCGCCCTATCTAGACCATCGTCCACCAAGCGCTAGTGGTTATAGCGGTATGATACGATAGCGATTATATCGCATTTGCTAATAGGTTTCAGCGCAAACTCATTCGGGAGTGGCTTTAAACAGATAATACGCGACATATAGATTGATTATCAGATAAACAGAAATCCAGTGGTTCATAAATCTGCGTTCAGTAGCAGTAAACTTTGTGGCAACCTAATTATATCACGATAGGAGATTAGCGCGGTAGTTTTGGAAAGTTGTAAAGTCTTATTGTGGTATCATTGCTCATTTGTGGTTAAACGTGATAAGTTTGGTGGTTATTTGGTGCTAGGTAATCATTTTTTTATTGCTGTTAATACAAGTGTGGAATTATTACAAGACATAGTATCTAGTATTAGCATCTAGTACCTTAAATTAATTTTCTCTTTTTACTCTATTTTTCTCTGTACACCACCAAAATTATAAAAAATTTTTTCTCACTTTGAACTCTGTAATATACAAGGCTCTAACAGAATAAAATAAATTCTAATTTACTGGGATGATAGCGTCGTCCTGTAATCCAGCTTCTTGGAGGAAACGAATTGTGAATATTTGTATGTTTATCCTGCGTATGCGATACTCCCTGGTATGGATTAACGTCCGCACTAGTGAGTACTACGACTATCCGCAGTACTTTCATTATAATTAGACCCATTCGTTAATACCAAGGCAAAAATGTGGTTCGGATTCCACTATAAACTGTAAGTCGCTTAGTTGGTTGCAATTTGTTGAATGGGCTATTAATTAACAGCTGTGTCAAGGGAAAATGTCGGCCTAAGTTACTAACAAGACTACAAGATCGCGCCTCTCATCCTACACTCATTCTTTACTCAAATTTCGGTTAATATACGTACATACGTGGGGTGAATACGTTAAATACGCCCTCATCTTAAATAATTGATGTAATTGATTGAAATATGGACAATATTTTCTTACATACTTGCTTACCATCATATTTTATTGGGGCGTATTAAGATAAGTGTTGCCTTAAAAAATAATGGTACTGCTTATTAGTACGTAAATATCTCTCTAGAAACTGCATGGGAAAAGCTTAATCCGAAGTCAAGTAATATCTAATAATGTATAAAATATTGCATACAAAACCAATCAGATAATCCTTCACATGATAGCATATCAACAAAGCCATTAACAAGTTCCAAAGTACCATTTAATTAGCAATCAATGTGCATTATATTAATATTGAAGGACATAGCCTGTACTCAGTTTGTAATCAGATTATAACTTAACTATAATGACAGGTTTTTACAATATATAACAATAACACTGTTTCACATGGACCAAATAACGCCGAGCATATTGATTGAGTATGTCTAATTAAAGCTCCCAATCAAGCGAGGTTCGTGGAGATTCGAGGTAAAACACTTTATGAAACTAATTGGTATTCGGTAAAAGTTGGAATTAAGCAATTACACAGTTGAATGTAGAACGTGGCCCTATTGTTTGGGCAGTGTCTGTCGATGAGGGTGGTGGGGGAGGAAAGGGCTATTGATGGGATGAAGGGTCATTCAATTAAAATGGAAATTAGTGCGAATGCCTGCACTAACAGGGCTGTTTATTGGCAGCCTGTGAATGGTGCCTGCCATAAAAATCAGGGATAGCAGCGAAGTACGCTAATGTTTTGGGGATTAAACGATTTACCAGAAAAAGGTGTCACCTACGTAGGATGATAAATTTGAAGCCAAGAGGTTTTTGCATTACATGTATAATCTGTAATCTATTTATAATCTGTATTTGGGGAAAGCAGATCAAACTGAACATGTGGACTAAAACGTATTGCTGTGTCCAAAGACAATATTTTATTCATTAGATTTACAAATATTTTTTTATTAACATTCTTTTGTTTACGTTTGTCAATGTAACAATTTTCGCATGGTTGTAAAAAAATAGCTTCTTCAGTATACGTATATACGTATTCGGTGTAAGTGAAATGGCAAATTTGTTTTGGTATTCAAAGATTATTGTTGAGGAAGGATGGATATACTGTATAATTTATGTATTGCTCCTTCAAGTAAGTATCAATAAAAAAAAGGTATTAAAAGAAAACATAATATAAGTCTACTATCTTCTTCTGACCTTATAACTCGTGTATTATTCACATATATTCCCTCTGTAATATTTAATCCAAACACATATTTTCCAGATGTAAACCACCGACAGTTGCAGCAATCAACATACCTTTTAGCCGGAAACCCCACTTAACACAATTGTAAGCACAACCACCGTCATGTGTTAAAAGCTCTACACGTGCTGTGAGTGCTATAATGGTGTAATAGCTGGCTTATGAAAAAAGCGTGATTCGCTATTGGACGATTAAAACGGATCTCAAATATTGTATTCAACATTGTTTGAAGATTTGTTATTCACATTTATTGGTTTATGTGGTTTATTGGTTTTATATACCTAAACATTTTAACTAGCGGTAAAACCCACTGAAATCTTAGGTAAGTTATCCACAAAATAAGGTAAAAATTCATTATTGTAGGAGAAAAAACTCTTTATTCCGGCACTCCCTCCACTATATGTTGTTCGATATTGTTTTATAGCAAGACAATGACTAGTTTTTTCTCGAAAAATGGTCTTGTTTAAAGCGAAAAAGTTTAATTGTAGTTTCAAAAATACCCATTAGATTTCGAAAAATGAAAGAACTATGAATGTATTAGTTCCGAAACATTGAAATAAAGCCATTATTGTGTTTTGGTTTATTAATCAAAGTTATGAGAATAAAGGTTTTACAGACCTGTAAGATGAACTTAGTGAAAAGGGAAAAAGAACTTTGATCAAAATAAAATTAAAAATTGTGGAACTTTCCTGTCAAAGGGAACATTCATGATTATCGATGATTTTTTTTTCTCGATATATCAATGTTTTTGTTTTTATTTATGACCCATATTGCGTCTGTTTAATATATTCAAACGCATTTAAAATACGAATTGAGAACTGCCCATATGGATTAAGAAATTAAACTATTCTAAATAACCTAACATAACTAACCAAACTTGATGTAGGCTAAGGTATCAATTCAAAATTCTATTTGAAAACATACTTTAAAGCTATGTGGGAAATTAAATAGGTTACTAAAGGGAATTTTGAAATTTTACAGCAAGTTTGATTATAAGTTAACCTAGGTTAGTTCAGAACAGTTTTATTCCAATATATCTTTTTAAAGTTTGTAGATAGCCTACTGAACAAAATGTATTTATCGTGTTGTCAGCTGATATGTTTCAATTCTTCAGTATCGATATATGGGATGAAAAAAAAATCTATATATCGAAAAGAGATCATCGATAATACTGAATGTTCCCTTTAACAGGAAAGTACCAAAATTGTCAAAAACATTCCACAAAGACATGCAACGTAAAATATTGGACGAACCATTTATTTGCATCAATTACGTCCAAGAGAGTTCAAAAGTTTTGGAATCTTTTGGTCCTACTCACGATATTTGGTTTTTTTATCTTTGATTTTTTTTAGGACAACGTTTAATTATGTGTAGTATTAATTTCTTTTATTTTATCTTAGCAATAATACAAAGACATCCTAACGTTGATGTAATTTCTACTCATAAAACTCATCAAAATCATCAGTTTAACTCGATAAACGATTTTAAACGAAAGTCAAGTTCTACGATCATTTAAAAGCCGTGAACTGACGCTAGACGCGGCGGGGCTATTGATGGCATTCAAGGACCATCCAATTAAAATGGAAATGATGACAGATTCCTGTGCAAACGCTGCTCAATTCTCGCCCTATCTAGACCATCATCCACCGAGCGCTAGTGGTTATAGCGGTATGATACGATAGCGATTATATCGTATTTACTAATAGGTTTCAGCGCAAACTCATTCAGGAGTGGCTTTAAACAGATAATACGTGCCATATAGATTGATTATCAGATAAACAGAAATCCAGTGGTTCATAAATCAGCGTTCAGTAGCTGTAAACTTTGTAGTTACCTAATTAAAATCATGATAGGAGAATGGGATTAGCGTGGTAGTTTGGAAAGTTGTAAAGTCTTATTACGATATCATTGCTATTTTATGGTTAAACGGGATGAGTTTGGTATTATATTAAGATGAGTGTGTGATGATTTTGGCTAGCTAATCATTTTCGATTGCTGTTAATACAAGTGTAGATTTATTACAAGAGTTAGTAATAGCGTCTACTGTAGTTTCTTGTAGATCTATCCTAATCTATTATTATTTTACTGTACGCTATTTGCTCTAAAAACCGCCAAAAATAATGTACATTTTTATACTCACTTTGCACTTTTGTGATGTGA